TTTTTTGCTTCTACGATTCACGATACATTCGCAATCGTGTATGCCACTAATGTCAAATGGGACTATTTTGTACGGGTAACTACACCACCACCGCATTTTTTATTAATTTTTTTTTCACACAACTGAATTTTGATCTTTTAAATTGAAATACCTGATTAAAGGGTGGCCGAAATTTTTCTCCGCCCCGGGCGGCTAACACCCACGGTACGCCACTGCGCATCTGAACTCGTCTATCAAAAAATTGGCGCATGGTATGCAAAAGGTTGGCCACCCCTGGAGTAGATGATCTATCTTTAAAAGGTATATAACAAAATAAATATGACATACTTGAACCTATAACCGATGTGTATCGAATAATCTTTCAACGATGAATGTTTTCATAACTCCTTCTGGGCTCTTCTTCAGGTGAAACAGCTGGATCGAACACCAAAAACGAAATATAAATAAATACGAACTCCGTTGAGTTTGAATCGTTTGGATCGTTCGCTTATTTCATCACGTGATATGTTTGAACGTGATTGAAGTTAACGATCAATGTCCAAATTCAAGAGAAAGATATTATTATGATACTTAAAAACGTGCGATTGAGATACATACTTATTCAATACTGTTCTCACATGTTCCCTAGTACTTTCTATTTTTATTTTTTATTTTAATACTTAATAAATAGTATTTCACTGTTACTCTGTATGTAGTAGGTTTTGCCATGCCATGGAAAGGCTGATTTTGTCTCTTGAATTAATACAAGTGGATGTGTCGTATGCTCTAAAAATTTCCATCTCCTCCAACCATTTTAGATGGTGAATGTGCAGTGTGGTGACAATTATCTGCGCTCTATTGAAGTCCGCCACTATTTCGGGATCAGTGGCGTAGGTGGAGAGTGATGTTGTGTGTCTGTTGTGTTGTACATCCGAGATGTGCTCTTTTATCCTAACTCATAATGAACGTTTAGTCAATCCTATGTATACCAAATCTCTGTTAAAACTGGTTATCTCTTAGAGGGATTGTATAGACGCCTGATAACTTCTCCACCCTGGATTGGTCCTTTTCGTTGCATAGGATATCGAACAAAGTGCTGCACCTTCTGTATGCTAGGGTAATTTTTCGTTCCTTTGCAATGGTGCTGTATAGAGACCTTAATAGTGGGTTGAACATGATAGGTATCCTCATATTTTCCGTAGTGTTGCTAGTGTTTTGCGTGATCACTGGAGTGTTGGAAGAAGCCTGTGGTTGTTTATGGCCCTCTGAGATCTTTTGTATAATACTTCAGTAACCATGGGACCTGGCAATGCCCTCCAAGTATTTTAACTCTTCCTCTAGCGCTAGTTGTGTAGAAGAGTGCGTATAAGCTCGTTTGACCAATGCCCTGAAGGCCGCCATCTTGTATTGGAAGGGATCACATGAATTAAATGGTATGTATGCCGTTAGACTAGACGGTTTGCGAAAAACAGATGTGCGTATGATGGAATCTTCAAATCTTATATCTAAATCCAGGAAATGGACTCTGCTGTTACTATGTTGTTCCATCTCTAGTGTCAGTACATACGGATTCTTGTTCGTTTCTTCTATAAAACGGGTTAGGTTGGGAGTTGTCCTCCATAAGATGATGATGTCATCGACATATCTTTTGTAAAGGATAATGTCGTGGAGGAAATTAGGCAGTGTCCTGCTCTCCAATTGCCTAATGACTAGTTCACATAAATCCCCGGTGACCGAACTGCCCATGGGGACACTTCTTGTTTCTGAGTATATCTTTTCTCTAAATTGAAAAACAGAGTTGTAACAAATTAAATGGGCCAATTCTAGTACTTGTTGATGTAGTTCATTGTTGTCTACTTTATTAAAGAGAAAATCCCTTAGAGCGCAGAAGCATGGAGGAAGTTCAATCGAAGGGTATAAGGATCTAAAATCCAATATTGTAACATAACATGGGGAGTTAACTACTTAGAGCCGCCGCAAACTAGGGCTTTGTGAGAGCAAAACGCTAGCAAAAGTGCACTAGCACAACCGATGACATTGAAGGCTCCGCCCATGTCTTCTTGCCCGCGCTGTTTTTCCTTCGCTAGTGCAGCGATACGAGAGTACGCTCGCTGTTCAGATAATTCAACAACTAGAGTATTTATGCTAGCAAGAGAGGACGGGAAAAATGGATGACAGCATAAACATGTCACATATCGAAAAAGAAATTATAGAATTTTATCGATGTAAGTAAATTACATGATTAATACATTCAGTATTGAAAAGAAAATAGTATAAACTTTGTATAAAAATAGTTTTTGGCTAGGTAAGCCTAGTTAGGCTTAACTAGTAGGCATGTTTTTCCTATGCTGTTTCAAAGTTCGGAACGAAAACTGACTGATTACAAGTATAGGTTATAATAAAATCTTTTTCTATAGCCAATCCACATTTGTGGAATCCACGTCATGAGGATTATTACAAAAAAAAACAAGAGGGATTCCACACTGACACAGTTAAAAGAGCTTTTAGCTTCTGAACATGGAATCAACATCACTTGTAAGTAGACTACATTTTATTTGTTGTGGGCTAGTATATTTAGTAATACAATTTGGTTTAATTTGCTCAATTAGTAAAACAATACAGTCTGTTACAAAAGTATAGGATCACCACAAATTTTGTGTTTTTTTAAAATCTATTTAAATTTTTTTAATAG